CTAAGTATAAAAATGTCCTTGCCCTACGTATCTCAGAGAAATGTAAATGCAAAGACTCCAAGAACGTCAAAGTGCTATGCAGATGCAAGGGGGCTCTGCATAAGACCAGGGGCTGGCAAGTGGGGTGATGGTTAAGGCTGCTGGATCCCCACATGGCCAACTGTGGTTCAAGTGCTGGACCTGGAAGCTTGCTTTCTCACTTTCCTTCTCTCTCTCCCTCTGTCCCTCTCTGGTCAAATGAAAATAAATACATAAACTTAAATACAATAATTCTTTAATTTAAAAAAAAAAAAAAGAATTTCCATCAGAGGAACATACTCATTCTGAACTAGGGATTCCAGCCACAAGTTTTAGCAGACAGGTTATAACCATCCAGTTTTCATCCTCCCTGTAGCTTGTACCTAGTAGTCCACCTAGACAAACTTTTTAAATGCAAACTCTCAAGCTAAGCATGATCACGGCCTTTGGACTTACTTTTCCACTCATCTATCAGGAGGTCCCTGCTTTCAAAGGACTGATCGTACGGATCTGCCACTGGCTCATCATCGGGATCGTGGTACTGAGCGAAGTAGGCGTGTGCGAGGGCCTGGGCTGCTGTAATCCTCTTATCTGAGTCCAATACGAGCATCTTCTCCAGCAGGTCGACAGCTATCACCGCGGGGGGAAGAGAAAGGGCAGAGGTTTTAACATGTCACAAAAGCACGTCTCGGTACTAGCCACGCAGTCAGGAACCCTTAATATTTCAACTGAAGTGTCTGTTCTAGGATGTATGACCCCTTTTCTCTGTGTGTGTTTTATATTTTTAAACATAATCACTAAACACGCAATTTTTTTTTTTGAGAGATTTTCACTATAGAGTGCGTGTGCTTGCTAGAGAGAGACAGAGAGACAGAAAGTGAGAAATCACCCCTCCAGGGGGGATGGCCATGCCGCAATCCCTTCTACTCCATTCTCCTCCCGGGATCTTGGGCATGCACGCACACGTGCCCAGTGTGAGTTTAAGCCACCGGGTCTGGGACTCGAACCGCAGTCGACTACATGGGAGTCCAGCGACATAGCCATTATGCTAACTGCTGGTCCCACTAAACACGCAATTTTAAAAAGAATCGGGTGGGGGTGGGCAACAGGTGGTATCACTGTTACAGCGCTAGACTCTCACAAGGCTGTCTACAGTTTGAGTCCTGGACTCGGCAGCTTGAAAATCATGCCAGGCACATGTGCATGCATGCCCAAAATCCCAGGAGGAAAATAGAGGAGAAGGGACTGTGGTGTGGCCATTCACACTGGGGGGGGATTTCTGCTTTTTTTTTTTTTTTTTTTAAATAGTCATTTATTGGTACCAACAGATGGCATAATGGTTACGTCACTAGACTCCCACATGGCCAACTGTGGTTGAGTCCAGGCCCAGAGGCATAAAATTCACACTAGGTGCATGTGTGTGCATGCCCAAAAGCCTGAGGGGGGGAGAAGAAGGGATCGTGTCTTGGCCATCCCCATTGAACGGTGACTTCTCAGTCTGTTTCTCTGTCTCTCCAGTGAGCGCACAAGCCCACTAGCAAAAATCTCTCTCTTTAAAAGAAAATTATTTAATTTTATTATTATTATTTTTTTAATTTGCTATAGGGCATGTGTACTCGCCAGAGGGAGAGAGCGAGCGAGCGAGCACACCAGGTCCAGGACTTGAACAGTGGTTGGTCATGTGGGTGTCTAGCGCCTTAACCATCACGCAGCCTGCTGGCCCTGTGGTTTCTCACTTGCTCTCTCTGGAGAGGTCACGTGGAGAAAGCGAAGGCCCAAGGAGAAGAAACAACAACTGGGATTCTGTCTGAACTGGCTTTTGTGGACTGTCAATGTTAACGTGTTACGTCTGCAGTCAGGCGATCAGAATGCAGCCCTGGAACTTAAAGTAATACGGAAAAAGGAGGCAGGGCTGGTTTATATTTTTAATTCTTTGCCTCCCTTTACTATCTGTTTATTAAAATAAGTCAAACAAATATTCATCAAACAAACAAATCTTCAAATGCTGAACAAACTGAAGGTTTTACATGGGGGTGTGGGTGAGACACGTTATTTGAGTAAAATGGAATTTAGGGCTGGCACGATGGTGCAGCAGAATGCACTGTTCCAGAGACCTGGATCGCCCATGGCAACCGTGGTCCTAATACCTGGCTTGTTGGGCCTGAGACACTCAACATGCACATGTGTGCCCAGGAAGGGAGGGCTGGAGGGCGGGGGAGGAGGGGGTCGGACTCTGGAGGGCACAGGGGGCCCGGCTCCTCCTCTCCCGCTCTCCCTTTCTCTCGCACGTGCACATGCACTCTATGCAATTCCAAAAACATGGAAATTTATTTGTAAAATGTTTACTATGGGGCCTAACAGGTGGTATGGAGGTTAAGGTGGCTGGATCCCACATGGCTGACTGTGTGGTTCTAGTCCCACACCTGGCAGCTTGAAAACCACACCAGGTATGTGTGTACCCAGTCTCGAGAGAATGGAGGAGCAGGGATTGTGGTGTGCCCATCCCCCTGGGCTGTGATGTCTCTCAGACCTAGTGCCAGTCCCAGACCTGGTGGCTTGCTTTCTCACTTTTCCTCTCCCTCCCACTCCCCCTTTGGTGAGCACACGTATCCTATAGCAAATCAAGTAATAGTAATAATGATAATAAATAAAACCAAATAAATAATTCTTTTAAAAATCATTAACATATAGCACTTTACTCCCATAGATAATCACAAAGACATTTTCCTAAATACTCTTTTTCTGGGGGTTGGGGGTTTTTGCTACAGGGTGTGTGCACTCGGCAGAGAGAAAGAAAATGAGAAATCACCCCCGGGGGGAAAGCCATGCCGTAATCCCTTCTCCTCCATTCTCTTCTTGGGATCTTGGGCTCACGCACATGTGCCCAGTGTGAGTTTGAAGCCACAGGGGCCAGGACTCACACCGCAGTCAACTACATGGGAGTCCCTCGACGTAACCATTACACCATCTGCTGGTCCCCATACTCCTAATACTGTTACCATATCTGACAAATAAAATATTTCTACATATCAGCTAAAATCTAGGTCATGTTAAAATTTCTCTAATTATCACACAGTTGTCTTTTACAACTGGTTTGTTCAAAGCAGGATTCAATCATGGGCCATACATTTGATGAGGTTTCTGTAGTCTCCCTTAATCTAGAATCTTCTCTACGTCTAGCCCCGCTTTTTCCCGATTTCCTGAAGAGCTTCCAGTGTCTTGAGCTTAACCGTTACTAGGCATCGGCCTGGCTGCTCTTCTGTGCTATCATGTACCTAGACCTGCTTTCCTCTACCCCCAGCAATCCTCTCAAACCAGAAGTTAGATCGGAAAGTCTGGGAAGAATCGGGGTAAGTACAGTATCTAGGCGAGAATATTTCATAGGGGATGCCATACATTTAGGGCACATGCACTCACCAGAGAAAGAGAGAGACAGAGAAAGAAAGAGAGAAAGCACCCCCCTCCCAGTGGTCACACTGCAATCCCTTCTCCTTCACGTCTCCATTCTTTCAGGATTTTGTACATATACCCAGTGTAGTTTTCAAGCCACCAGGGCTAGGCTAGGAACCACGCGGTTGGCAATGTGGAATCTGGTTGCCTTAGCTACCAGGCCACAGGACGGGTGATGCTGTATCCCTGACAGTGCGTTACGGTCATGTGTCCGCCACCAACAGTGGACACGAGGTGTTAAACTTGATCACTGGGTTAAGATGCTTCTCCTTTGCCCCAAGCCAGTAACTTGTAGGACACTGGCACCAGGTGAACATCAGTTGTGACTTTCAGCACCCATTGGGTTTCCTTCCTAAGAGCAATGATTTCATTAGGAGATCAAGGTTCTCATCTATATTTCCAAACAGGATGTCTTGAGTTTCGGCATGGGCACTTTGGAGAATAAACGGTGAAGTGACCACAGTTATCATTACGGTCAAACAGAAAAATGCTTTAAGACTTTCCGAGTTATTTCTTCAATGTGGAGGGAATGGGGGCACACAGGGAAGAGGACGGCTTTCTGCAGAGATCTACTGCCACATATACTGGAGGCTGTGAAAGACTCCGGGTTCCATGGTCTGAATTCGGAGTAATCAATCCCCAGGTTTCAGGAGGATACAAAAACACAGTCAGTATTTACATGCCAATTTAAGTTTTTAATTTTACACTTTAAAGTGTTGGGAGAATCGCCTTGAATATGTATTCATCTGAAGGTCTATATGGAAAACAAACCTTACAGCTCTTAGTTTTATAATGAGACTTTGCCTCTCCTAAGGTAAAAAGCATCCCGTCCTTATAATCAATACCTTGATGAGAAACAAGGTCAGGGGTAAGAAACAGACTCCTTAAAGATCTTGATGCGGACATGAAAATGTAATTCAAATTTTAATTCACGTTTTAGGGACAGTAAAGGAAACCAAGTCTGGGAGTGACAAAACCGAGCTGCTGATATAGATATCGCTGGTGTACCCCCCGCCCAGTCCGCGTGCTGGGCAGCAGGCCAGGATGAGTAACACCGTGCTCTGTCTGTCGAGCGAGGGGGCACACTTCGATGGCACACGTCTGCACTCTGAGAGAACAGTGCCGAGTGCCAGGCGGACCGAAACCTCCATTCCACCCGTCAGCAGTCTATGGCCGAGTGGCCTCGAGTCCAGAAAAGGGGGCCATTTATCAGAATGCATGTGACCTCAGTGACCTGCTGGAACACACGCATCTCCTCTCCTCACAGAATCATGAATTAACTTCTTTTTTCTGAGCTGTTAGTAGGAGTCAAACAGCGAGCACTACGATGTCTAAGACACAGGGCTGCTGAAATGAGGAGCGTTCATAAAGCGTGACCAGAAAGCTACCAGCATACGACAACATCCTTCCCCAGCTTCTAGGGGGACAAACAGAACTTGGCACAGAGCTCTGAACTAGACATTACGCTCGCATAAACCGTACAAAGCCGGTGGTCTAAGGTGGCAACAGCGAAAAAACATGATGAAAAAAACGCTGTCACCCCTTATCACCCCAGTCAGAATGGCGAAGAGTAAAAAAACAAACAAACAAACAAACAAACAAAGATAAGTGCTGGCGAGGCTGTGGTGAAAGCGAACTCTCCTACACGGTTGATGGGAATATAAATTAGTCCAGCCACTGTGGAGAACAGTATGGAGGTTCCTCAAAGACCTGCAAACAGAACTACCATATGACCTAGCAATTCCACTTCTACCCAAAGGACAGGAGAACGCTCAGTCGGAAAAGTGTCTGCACATCCATATCCATGTTTACTGAGGCATTATTCTCAACTGCTAAGACATGGAACCAACCCAAATGTCCACAAACAGATGAATGGGTTGAAAAAGTGTAGTACAGACGCTATGGACTACTACTCAACCATAAAAAAAAAGACCCTGGCATTTGATAGAAAGTGGACGAATATGGAAGACTGACTTCTGAGTGAAGCAAGTCAGTCTATGGAAGAGAGACACGGTATGTCCCCACTTGATATATACCGAATGTCCACACTCTAGGGCAGAAACTGACACTGGAGCATACAGAAGCATAGAAAATGGTTGGAGATACTTCCCACAGTGTGGGAAGAGGGTGGGAACTAGGGAAGGGTTCCGGGACATCTGGGCGACCCAGAAGTGGAGGACTGCCTGTTGATGACAGCATATACGGGATCTTTAGCTGGACTGGTGTGCAGTGTGTTCGTGCTGGGAAAATTCATTTTACAAGTTCTGTTGCTGTCCAGAGTTAAATGTATAAAATAAATTTTAAAAATAAGATAAAATAGTAAAAAGATGTAAAAAGTTTGAGGTGGCAAATTAGCCCCATATAGAGGAGAGGATGGCGAAGCCTCTGAGGGGCAGAGGAAGAAAGGAAAGGAGAGAAGTCGGTGAGTGTGGAGGACAGCAGGGTCCACTGCGCTGCACAGCCACAGGCAAGCAGAGGCCGTGGCGAGCTCCCAGCCCGCTCCTCTAAACACCACCTGGCTCCAGTTGTTTTCACCCTGGGCTTGGGACGCCGTAAACTAGCAGCCGTCGTGACCAAGTCGCAGGTTTTCATTTGCCCTTCTTCCCGCCTCCCCAACCTGTTCTCCCAACATTCCTACCACTGTCTCTCCTTCCTTCACTCTTCTGGCCCATTTTCCCTGCCAATATTCTGTGACCATAGAAACAATGGGTCATCAGAAAAGCCGTGACATCATTTTCCCATGTTTTTCTAAGTAAAAATGTGTCACGACTCTTCCGACTACCTAACATATAACCATGTCATGCGATTTTTCAAAAATCTGACAATACGCACACAGATAATAAACGTCATATTTATAACCAGCCAAGACTTAATGAATGGTATCTTATTTAGAATGAAAGAAAAACCTTTTCCTTCTCTAACTAATTCAAAACCCGTGAGATGAGGACATGGTCAACTTACCCAGGGGATTGGCACCAATAAATACATTTGCAAAGTTCATCTTCGGCATCTGAGTCAAAGACTGAATATAGTTTCTCGCCTGTAAAAACAAGGGTTTTTCAGATTGCTTTTGTTCAGTGATGTTACTTCCCTCAAAGAGCGCTGGTCTTATGGAACAAGGGTTCACTGGCAAACCTGCCAACTCCAGTGTTTATGACTATCTTTACTATTCGTTGAAGACTTCTTTCTATTGTACTTGAGCATGGATATAAAAGAGTACAGTGAAAACAGACAAGAGAGACTTATCCACAGAACAGTCATCCCTTTAATAAAGATAAATAAAAAGATGACTTGAATAGAGCGGAAATAAAAACAAAGCTTCTAAGAAGGACCCTCTGTGATGCCCACCTTAGAAGTGTCTTTGTCATCTCTGATGATAAAACGACAGTTAGATTAAGTACGATAGTTAAGAACTGCTAAGAAGGGCACCGGACCTGACCTAAGTGTTCATATTTATTCTATGTTATCTGTGCATTTCCTTTTAAATATAGTACTTATCAGTGTTGGGTATTTTATCTTTTTTTCTTCTTTTTCTTAAATGAAGAGCCCTCTTTTGATCATTAACCAAATGAACAAATACGAAAGCACCCTCTGGACTCCAGTCAACTACACTTCTGACAAAGGCTGCCGGACGGTGGCCCACGCTAACCACAGGCCTCGTACCTAGGGAGAAACAAGCAGCCACTTACAAAACCACAGGTAAAGGTGACGTCGCTTTCTGTTCACAAGCCCGCAAGTGATAGTCTGTATCCCACAGAACTGGATGGTAAAACTGAACTTTAGCCCAAAGTCACTATCTTGCAACAGCACATATGCAGTCATGGCCTTAGTAGCCCTCGGGCACATGCAAGCGCTTGGTGACATTAGAAACGGTGTCAGTTATACACGGTGGCAATAAAATGAGGATGTGGCCTCCCGAATACACAGGCCTGCACAGTATTTGTTCTCACCTCATGGCTTGGCATCCTGTTAATGAGATAAGCAGGGGGTGTCCCCGTCAGACGCATAATCTGCTGAAGTTGGTTAATATCTTAGATGCCTAGTCAAGGGCATTGTTAAACAAACAGTGCAAAAAATAACTTTCGATGGAAGTGTCTTTAAAAACAAAAAGTCAAAAAGCCATCCCCAAACAAACAAACAAAGAAAAATCTCCTCCCCAGTCACCCCAGGTCAGAGCCCAAGGCTGCATGTTAAAGCAAGGCCGTGGAATGGCATGAATTACTAGGTGTGGAGCCGATGACCGGCCATGTGGGTCAGAAAAATTCCCTTTTTTTGGTTTCAGCATCATCGTTAATGTGATCTATTTTAGGTTCCCTGGAAGCAGATTGCCCCTTGATCCAGGATGCCAGCCAGAGAAGTTTTTGAAAGTACCAGAGGTCAAAACCTGTTTATTTATAGGACAAACACACATGATTCAGGAAATTTTGACTCAATTTTAGGCAAAATAAAGCATTCAATATATTCATTCCAGGAAGAGACTTCAATTTTTGTGACACAGGCTCTCCAAGGCTCTCCCCCTCCAAATGAAGACACCGTTGGGCATGTGGGTTGATAAGCAATGCCACGTTTCAAAGCTATTAGTAGTGGTACATTTAAAACACATGCCAGAGACACACGATGGTAAGTGAAGAAAGGGGACACGGGAGAAAGTTAGAGGCTAATGGCAAAGGCAAAGGAGTCACGGGATGCTGACAATACGAGAGAGAGCATGCCACAGTTACTTCATCCGTGTCTGAGGAGTGAGTGACTTCACGTAACCACAGCTGGGAGGAGGTGAGCGAGACACTGCCGCTATCTGACCAGAGCAGAGCTCCATATGCGGCGGGCACAGATGTAAACTGTCCTCTTTTAACTGCCCCATCAGTGTCAGCATAATTCCCACAGTTCCACAATGAGAAGTGTTGGTTTATCATGCATTCCTATTAAAAGGAGACACGATGGGATTTTTAAAAATCCTCCACATAATCCAATAAACCCTCTTCTATTCCCCTTTTTGTTAACTACTAATTCCTTCCTTCAACTGAAGCATCATCTTCAGTAAGTACCCTGGCCAAGCAATTTCACTTCTTTGCGGCTTCTCTGGGTAATTTTCCCACTTGAGCTCATCCTCTCTAGTGGTCAGATGACGGTTCACGCGTGTGTAAGGCTGGCCGTGGGAGGGGAGCTGGGGCCCAAGCCCAAAGACAAACCAGCACATTCAAGATGGTGTGTAGTCCTACCAACATCTCCACAACCAAGTTTCGGCTTGCTCCTAAACAAACCGCATAACAAGTAATACTCTGTACGTGAAGAGAAATAAGAAACGAGGGTCACAGGGGCCAGCAGGTGCCATGGTGGTTAAGGCGCTGGCCTCCCACATGGCCAACCATGGTTCGAGTCCAGGACCTGGTGGCTTAAAAATCATGCCAGGCATCAGGTACATGTGTGTGCAGATCCAAAATCCTGAGAGGAGAATGGAGGAGAAGGGACTGCAGCATGGCTATCCCCCCAGGAGATAATTTCTCACTTCCCTCTCTCTGGTGAGTGCAAGTGCCTTACAGAAATGTATTTTTAAGAGGACACAGAATAAAACTGCAATAGCAGAATACCAGATGGGTCTCAAAATGTTAAAATCCTGCCATCTCTCCCTTCCTCTCTGTGAACAGTAGTTGCCTGTACATCTTCTGTTTATGCCACCTTTAGTCAGATAGTTTATTATATATCTCCTTGTTGAACACTGGGAAGGTTATATTTCTAGAGAAAAATGTGAATGAGCTAGGATCTTGCTTTCCTAATAAGATTTGCTGTTCTTTCACCGATTACTAAGGTACGGGGACACCAACCAAATAAATCTCATCCTTAGGCCTCCACCTTGACACATACCCCTCTCCTATAACACGCCCTAACTGTTCTCAATCCATGCCTGCACTCTCTCCCTCAAAATACCCTGTTCTGTATGAACAGAGTCCCTTCACAGATGCTGGCAACACGGCTTCACTGCTTTTTTAGGAATAAGAAAATAGCTGCTGGCTTTCTGCTTGCTATCATGCTTCACTAACGCCTTTTTAAATTTTTAACAATCCCCGAACAATTTACGGAGTTGGCTTTGTTATTTCCACACCGTGCATCATGTGCTGTTGGGATAAACAGGTGCTTGGAAGGTGTCACTAACATTCAGCCTGCCAGTCCTTCTGAATGTTTAGGCTTTTACCCATGCACCACGATTATGTAAGGGAAAAGCACCTTTATTTCTGTGCTTCCTAAAGCATTATTTGAGTAAGTTCCATATCCTGGTACTCAGTTTCATCTCGCCCAGTGCTAGGACGGGGCTGCTGAAAGGTATGCTGTGCTCCATGTCACACGAGACAGCGCCCTCTCACTGCATAGGTCACGCAGGGTCGGTTCTTTCTTAAAAATAAATGATGGCTGGGACCAGCAGGTGGCGTAATGGTTTGTCATTGGATTCCCATGTAGTCAACTGTGGTTTGAGTCCCGGACCCAGCGGCTTAAAACTCACACTGAGAGCGTGTGCATGCATGCCTAAGATCTCAAGAGGAGAATGGAGGAGAGGGGATTGCAGCATGGCCTTCCCCCTGGGAAGGGATTTCTTACTTTCTCTCTCTCTGGCAAGTGCACATGCCCTATAGCAACAATCTCGCTAAAAAATAATAATAATGATAGAAAATAAATAAATGATGGCCTGATGATAGATTTTATTCATATTTTATCTTTTAGAACTTCTTGTGACTAACAGCACATCTATGGGATGGGAAAAGGGACCGAGAAGGAGTTGGTAGTAGCCACTCCAGGGCAGGGAATGAACTTGCTACCTCAGCCTGACTAGCACTACTCAGTAATTAGCTGAATGACTTCCCAACTCTGTCTCCACATCCTCTTATTGGCCAATCTTCCTATGCAAATGCATTAAAAAAATTTTTTTAAACAAAATCAACCAATCAATCAATCTGTTCTTCCCAAGCGTCATCTCTTACATTTGCGGATTCACTCTCACCCAGCTTCAGCATAACCCAAAGAAAAACACCTTCAGGTTGACACTGTGGTCGGTAATTCTGACACTGACTTTCAAAACAGTGCGTAAGGCTGTTTTAGATGTGCCATCAGAACACCTGGGATCTACGCTCAGCTCTGCCAAGTGACGCGGGCAGGACTCGGGCAAGCCGTGGCATTTCTGTGTTTTCGCTTATCTTAAATAAGTAAGGGAAACACAATGGGGCCAGGCCAGCACAGCCTCCACGTCCTTCAGAGGAAACATGTACGAATGCACAGGGCTTTGCAGTCCTGTTAGGAGTGCACCGTACGTACCGGCTGGTGGCAGTCTTTACTTTGCAGGGAGACTCACCTGCTCATGCCTGCCTCCAGCTCCCGGCATTCTTCCCAACTGGGCTAAGGGCCCTTCAGTTGGAAACGCTGGGAGGAGAATCCGGGAAGGCAGAGCTCCTAGCTCTTCTTCCTTTACACCTGCCTGTGGCAGGGGGAAGGGAGAAAGGCTGAGGGTGTTCACAGCTTCTCTCATGTCTCTGGCCCAAGAATATAATCAACGGCAGGAAATCATAGCCAAAGTATGCTGGAGTCACAGTCCCATGGCTTCTGTTTAAATTCCTGCTCAGAGGCAGGAAAACACTAGCTCCAGAGCCTTTTCTCAGGTTATTGAACCTGTAATTTCAAAGGAAGGCTATAGGGGAAGATTTGCCACCACCCTCCTATGGACCTGGGGTATGAGGAAGGAAGGTCTTTCCTCTGAGCGTTCTGGACACTGGGTAAAGGGTATCTCTGTTGGGAACGGACACCTAACACGGGGTACATGAGTTGTCTATTCTAAAGTAATAAGAGCAAATAACTTCTGGAAAAGGGCCATAGCGTGCAGACGGCACCCCTTACATTCTTTGAGTGATGAAGTTAGACGACTACATGGGAAGCTCATGCTCTGAGAGTAAGTACTAATCACAAATAAAGAGAGCTCCTGAGTATACACGAGACTTCTGAGAGAGATGAAGTCAGGGCTTGAAAATGGGGACTCGAATTTTCCATTTGTCTCTTGGAATGCATTAGAATCTCAACTCTCACTCTTCTGCTAGGAAACTATTACCCAATAAAGGATCCTGTGAGCTCACTATGTGCCCGGAGAGAGAACAAAATACATTCATGCATGCAGGCAGGCACGGGCACGCACATCAACACATGCGTGCGTGCACACAGATCTGCGCCTCGTCCTGCAGTCAGCACACACGAGGCACGCGACCTTACAGACACACGCGGGTAGGGGTACAGATGAACCCGAGGCAAGTGGCAGAGGCTCCCCACAGGGCAGATAATTACAATCAAAGCATCAACTCACAGACTCTGAGGAGATTTTCTTCAAAAGCTCAGCCCCTGGGGTTCCAACGAGTCTTAAAATGAGCTTCAACTGATCAATATCTAATGATGGACTATAAAGGAAAATGTTGGGACAAAATAAAAATGGAAAACAGTAACAGATGAAACAAAACGAAACAAACAAAACATCTCAAAAACAAAAATTATAAACCCCAGACCAAGCCGACATGGTGAATTCATCTAAGTCACGGCTTCTGCAGGTCACCTCAAGCAGGCCAGGCTCCTCCTGTGCAGAGATTCAAAATGTCGCGGCACGTGTGTCCAATGGGTACTCATTTTGTGCATCTGTCAGCATCGCGCATCAGTAGAGGGAAGCAGCTGTGGCTGGGTTCCTAGCTCCCAAACGCAGCAGATGGAACGCCAACGTTTCATTCTCTCCACCTGTTCCGTAGCCCCTCCCTCCTCACCTTCCACCAAACCACCAGCAGCCAATCAGGCAAAGGGCACTGGCAGGCAGAGGGTCACCAGAGGGTCACGGGAAGAGAAAAGCAGCAGAGCACAGGAGCCGGGGATGTAGTCTATTTGTGAATACTCCCCTAAGGCTTGACCTAGACAGCCTGTAGTAGGATAGCGAGAGGACTGTAAGACGGGAAGCCCGGTCACTGGGGCGTGCCCTCTAAAAACCTCTCCCTCACACTGACTAGAGGCAGAGGCCTG